TGTAAATTTAGCCATGATTTCTAAATTAGAATTATTTAAGCAAAATGTGTATTTTCTATATTACACTATGTGACGTTATATGACGTCATATGACTGTAATATGTAATATAAAAATCTATATTACATGTAATTTACAACACTAGTCACGTCAAGTTGTAACATCATTCCAAAATCATAATCCGTAATTAACCATCTGTCGGTATTGTATTTAATGTTTCTTAATCTATTTGAATAAAAGTTGTTTGTTGTGTAATGAATGCCTAATCTTTATTAATTTAAACTATTATTAAGTCAGTTAGATTTATGAGAACAGGGTTTAGTTAGAGTTTAAGATAATTATTAGAATCTGGTTTGGTCTAAAAGAACTATTAACGGGAAAGCGGTAAAACTGCTGCTCGGTATATGAGAGTAGCGCCAAAATCAGCTAGTTTAATTAAAATCTAAACGTAATTTATTATATTTAATTGAGAGCAGTTTTATCCGTGACAATATTAAGTTATATTACAATTGTTAAATTTGTTTAATCACATCCCATACGAATAGCAGTTAATGCTGTATACATGAAAATCTATGTATAGGTTTTACTCATGTACTTATTGTAAGTCAATGAGTAATTATATTCCTAAGGGCTAATGTTAAATGTATGGAATTCTTTGATCATCGCCAGAATTGTGATTAACGCATAGAATCGCGTGTAAACTTTGTTAAAATATTTGATTGCAAAAAGAGTGCTACATTTGACATGATCAAATCTTGTGGGATCAAATCAAAAGCAACGGAACAATAGAATTCTTGTGTTATCTAATATTTGTAATTAAAATTAAAAATTTATTTTATTTTATTAGATATTTATTTACAAAATGTATAATCATTATTGGTAATAATTAAGCATTAAGCCTGTATTATGTAATGTTGGATAATTATTTTATGCTTTATAATTTAATATAATATTGCTGCTTAAAAAATTAATGAGTTAACTTTTGTATTATTGTTCACCATTTGATTTATTGGGTAGCTGACCCGTGCAAATCATTATTTGGTTGACATCAAATGTCTCATAAAAATGTTTGGATTTTTGTTATTATAATAAGTTTAACTAAAGATTAAACTATTTAAACGAGTAAAAGTAAAAGTATACTTTGAAATTGTTTGTCATTTAAATAAGATTTAATGAATATAAAATCATTATCATAAAAACTCAATTTCTAATTAGTTTCATGGTTTTTGTATTAAATAAAGTGTAAATAAATTGTTTAATTTAATAAATGCCTAATCATACTACATGTTCAAAATATTATGCCATTCTATTACTAACATATTTCAACGTGTTATTAATATAAGAATATTTAGGTTATATCTGCGTATTGTCTGTAACAATGAAAATGTTATTTACTCTATGTAATGCCTAAAAGTAATAAAGTCTTAATTATTTAAAAATTTTAACTTAACCAGTTTTATTAGGCTTTAAGTTAATTTATTATAAAGTGCTAATTAAAATCATTTAACTCTTGATAAGTTAAATCACTTTAATAGTTATTTAAAGTACTTCATCTAAAACTGTGATTAAAGTAAAACTGTATAATTAATTGTGAATTTAAAAAACTCAAATGGCTTTCAGGCTAAAATTAATTGTGGTATTAATACAATTAACAGTTGTATTGTGCGAATGGGCAAGTCATAATAAACATCATCATTACAGTTTTATTCTTATATAAGTCATATCCTATCATACATTCAATTCTTAAAAATAGTATCCATTTTGCGATCCGACGATTGAAATCGATTCGGCATTCGTTGACCAGACGTCCGATTCGGGCAAAGATGTCATCACTTTGTTCTCGAAGACAACGGTCTATGAGGTGAGCGCCGACTCCGGCCATCACAATGAGGTTGCTTTCAAATACAAGGCATCACAACATTTGGTACAGTGGGCTGACAAGACTGTTGTCGCCCCCATAACCAGCGTTTATTATTTGGACCCTGCTAAAAAGGTCATTAAATTAGAAAATGTAAGTTTTAAATGTTTTAACTAATTTTTATAATAGCTTATATAAATAATGTAAGTAATAATCTGTATAATAAATAGCATATTGTCTATTTTACACATTTCACTTTATAAAACTACAAGTTAAATAAATATAATAACTAAATCTAGATATAAATTAATTGTGCTTGATGTATAATTTTGTATAAAATGCTGTATACAGAGAGAAAAGCAGATGACGTGGTTGTTATGGTCACACAATAAGACAGTATTTAATCACACAAAACAAACCTACGATTTAAAACTACACAACTTTGAGGGCTTCACGCAATACACGTACGACATAAAGTACCCGAATGTCCAGATCACAAAGATCACGTACAATATTACCGACAATAATAACGCTCAGAATGCCCAACTTGATGGAAACACTCTAATCAACTTGGTTAATAAAACAGCAACAGACATATTTAACAAAACTGGTCTAGCTAATACAACTGTAGTCGACATTTTTGACCGCACTGTCACCGGCCTGTTTAACGGCTTGGTAAAACGAGCGGTAAATGAACCTGCTACCGACACAACCATCAAGCCGACAACTTCCCAGACTGAGCTAAACACCCAGAGCACTAACAGCACAGCTAATGAATCTAGCTTACCCTCTGCTGGGTTTGTGTTGGGTCAGAGCATTTATTTATTTTCCCGCAACACTGTTTGCAATATAAACATCGGGTCGGCTATTGGCGAGTGTGTGAACCGGCAGTCCATAGGCCTGTGGGTCGGGTGCGTAGAAGACTACACAATGCAGTACATAGTGTTTGGTATAGTCGTCGGCTCTATTTTGGTGGGCATTGCGTTTGTTATATACGGAAAGTGTCGCAAACCAAAGCCTAAGCCCCACAACAACAACACGGGTCCCGACGGCATAAATCCGGTCAATAAGCCGTTGAACGCCTACACCGACTGAGACTCAGATAGTTTCGTTTAATTTGTTAATTAATAATTAATCATGATTTTAATTTTGAATTACTTTTTATTTTAAAGGTTTTATTTATTTTATAGTGATATGACCATCAAATTATTGTACACGTTATTGTTGTATTACTTCTCATTTTACTGTATTTTTAGCCAATTATATTCCTGACCCTCATTACCTGTACCCCTCAGCAACAACACTAACCAATCACACAACAGTACTTCTCATGTATTGTTCAAATCTGTACCCTTTCTCTCACATGCAAAGCACATTGCTTTTCAGTCTTGTTTTACTCATTAAACAGAGCAGTCATTGAATCCATTGTCTCATTCATTCGCCATTTTCTCATCCATTCATTCATCTCTTTCTTTGTTTGACTACCTTTTGTGTCCACTATTATCAAGTCCTCATCCGAAGGACCTCTCGTTAGTAGTCCCGCATCAATACTGTGCGATCGCAAAGAGTAGTTCCACAACAAAGTGGCGCAGTCCCGTAAGATCTAATATACCTGATCTCTAATCTACACGTGGTATCCAACGCCTGATCTCCACTCGAAATGGTGCGAACACGACGACAACCTCCTCCTCCTTCATCGCCCCGAAGCACTGAATCCACTGAAACCGCTACTTCTGAGCAGTCAAGTCACAGGACTTCTGCCAAACTCCCGAAGTTTAGCGGCAAATCAGACTCTGGACTCACGATAGAGGGTTTCTTCCGTCTCTTTGACTTCACGTTCCAGTCATTGTCCGACAACGAGAAGATCGGTCGCCTAATTGAGTACCTCGAAGGCGAAGCCGCCGACTATTTAGGCACCGGTGTACTTCTCACAAATCACGTCACGTGGCAAGAAGTCGTCGAGAAGTTCACCGCCAGGTACGCACACTCTGACGTTCAGCCGCTGACCGCCGCCCATCGCCGCCGCTTAGAACACAATGAGAAGGTACGTAAGTACTTTGATGAGAAGACCCGTATACTCCGTCGTGTCCCCGGACTCACCGAAGTGGATATGACAGGAGTCCTCACAGAAGGTCTTCCCGAGAGGTACCGCCCGTACTTCTTAGGTAAGCGGTATGACCTCTCAAAATGGCTCATCAAAGCACAGGACGTCGAAGCGGACTTCCTCCGACACTCACAAAACAGTCATCAAAATCGCTCATTCGCTCGCCCTTCGACTCACTCATCAAACCGCTCATCACATGCAGCCAATCATATGTCCCACGGCTCGGGACAACAACAACAACAAAACAATCGCAATCGCTCTTCTGGTGGGACTTCACAACGCTCTGATCGCCGTACAGACAACACTCCCAATGAATGCCCATACTCTTGCCGTATCTGCGCAGACATCGGTGAAGTAGCGTATCATTGGCACAAACACTGTCCCAATAATACCTCCAGAAGTACACCCAGAAGTACAGCCAGTACTTCTGCCAGAAGTGACTCGACTTCTGATCGTCAAAGCGTTAACCCAAGCGATTCTTCTCAGCAGTCACAGAACCACTGCATTACTAACCAGTCTATGTCTACGGTCGCCGCCGCCCGCGACGTTATTCTCATTCCAGGCCGTATCGGTTCACTACACTTGTCCGCCTTCGCAGACCCCGGATCGACGCTTGACATTATGCCACTTTATGTCGCCCAACGTCTACGCCTCCGCATAGACAAGTCTCGTAACACATCCATACATCTGGCGAGAGGTAACGTGCGTACCGTCGGAGAAGTCTCGTTTGATTTCACTGTCAATCGGATGGTTCGCCGCATACGTGCACAAGTCCTTGAAGGCTTCAAGTATGGACTTCTTCTCTCTTTGCCAACACTCGGACGCTATGGAGTTGTGATCAATACGACCACTCGTAAGGTATCCTTTGAAGGAAATCAAACCGTTTCGCCACCCATTAGTACCAACGGCCGACCAGCGCATCAATCATCACCACAGGGACCTCAGACTGTTCCCAAAACCGTCACTCAGGACTTCTCACAGACCCGTTCAGCGCAGCCTGAATCAGAACTTCTCACAGTGACTTCTCCGCCAGAGGGTCACTGCCATCTCATCTCATCAGAAGGCACATCATTCGCGAGAAGTAACCAAACACTTGAAGGACTTCTCCAACAATTTGAGCCATTATTCGCCGCCGACTCTACTGACCTCAAAACCATTGATGTCGAGGAACACCGTATTGTGTTGAAAGACCACAAGTATCGCAAACAGCGACCATACCGTCAATCACCTCCCAAAGAAGCAGAAACTGCACGCCAAGTGAAGGAACTTCTCAACAAAGGTTTCATTAGGCTCTGTGCCGGCCCGTACGGCGCACCCGTCACTCTGGTGCTCAAGAAAGACGGATCGTACCGCTTGTGTTGCGACTACCGATATATCAACAGCTTTACAGTCCACGACAGCACTCCTATTCCTCTCATTGCAGACGTCATCGACCGACTCCAGGGGTCCCATTACTTCTCAAAATTGGACTTCAAATCTGGATATTGGCAGGTCCGCGTCGCCCCTGAGTCCATCCCATACACTGGATTTGTCACACAAACAGGTCATTACGAGTGGGTCGTAATGCCTTTCGGCCTAAAGAACTCGGGAGCGACTTTCCATCGAGTCGTTCAGAAGATCATCGGTGACCTCTCATATAACGGCGTCATATCATATCTCGATGACATCGTGGTCTACGCCAAGACTCAGGAAGAACACGACTCCCTTCTCCGCGAGCTGTTCAGCCGTCTCTCCAAACACAACGCTCGCCTAAATCGCCCGAAATGCGAGTTTAACCAGAAGTCCATCGAGTTTCTGGGACACCTCATTGATGGCATAGAAGTTCGGCCGCCAGAAGCCAAGATCAAAGCCATCACTAACTATCCGACTCCCACTTCACGTGAAGCCATTCAGCGATTCAACGGACTCGTTAATTACGTCGGCGAGTACATTGATAACCTCTCAACCATTCTTGCCCCTCTCACAGACCTTCTCAGAAAAGACAAGCCTTTCGTTTGGGGGACTTCTCAAGAGAAGTCCTTTGCACTCGTCAAACGCCTTATGTCCGAACATCCCGTCCGCCGTATCTACAGACCGGACGTCAAGTGCGAGCTCCACACCGACGCCTCAGCCGTCGGCGTCGCTGGGATCCTCTTCCAAGAAGGCCATCCCATCGGGTACTTCTCAAGAAAGCTCTGTGACGCTGAGACCAGATACACCACCACCGAACTGGAATGCCTAGCAGTTCACGACTCGATTGCCTTCTTCCGCATCTACTTGGAAGGCGCGCCGTTCACTGTCTTCACGGACCACATGGCCCTCAAGTGGCTCATGAACTTCGAGTCCACCAAAAAGCGTCTGAAAGCTACCTGTCTTCGAGATAGAGAGATGTGTAAACTGCAGGTCGTGGCGGGCCCGTTTGTCTACACAGTGCACCTGCGCGAGAGTGCGCGTGGGCAGACAGAGATAGAGAGCTGACTTCTTCAGGTTCGTCACCAGAAGTCCGATCACGACAACGGATGCGTTTACACTCCGCCAGTAGTGGTCCGCTCTAACGTCTCCATGAATTCTCCAGAAGTCACGAGTACTTCTCGTGAACAAACCATACCATTCACTCCTCGTTCCGACAATACTCCACGAACTGTCCGTAAGTTCTCGCGTGATCTCATTGTCGTCCCGCCATCTCTAGTGTCACAAGTCCTCGTGGAAGCTCACGACAACGCTGGACACCCAGGGATCCGAACGACTCAGAAGCACATCCAGTACCGGTACTTCTGGTCAAGTATGAGACACGACATCAAAGAGTTTGTGAAGTCCTGTACTGCTTGTCAGCTCATCAAGACTTCTAATCATCCGTCGTTTCCAGTTGAGGTCGGCAACGGTTGTGGCCGGCTTGGGAAGTTTGAGGAGCGGTACCTGTGGTATCAGTACCCATGAAGACGAAGTTTTAGGTTTCGGTTCATATAGGTCCACTAGTAGCTAGTGGTGTGCCGCTATATCTGGACAAAACCCACACCAACCAACACAACAAAGGCCGCCATCTCAGCACTGGAAGAAGTCCTCAAAAGTGGTGTCAAACCTGAGAGACTTCTCACTGACAATGGGACGAACTTCCGATCCAAGGAGTTCCAGCGCTACCTCACCCGGAACAAAGTTCATCACCACTACACCACCGCGTATCACCCACAAACCAACGGGAAAAATGAACGCGTAAACGCCACGATCATCACTGGCCTCCGTATCGAACAGAAGTCACACCCTCGCAAACAGTGGACTTCTCTTTTAAAAACTGTTACTTCTAATTATAATAACACCATTCATAACAGCACTGGTTTCTCTCCTTCTTACCTGATGTACGGAAGCGATCGACTCAACACTACTACTCCAGACCTCATCACTGCTCGACAAACAGCCCAAAGGACTTCTGATGAAATCAAACAGAAGACCAAAGTTCGCTACGATTCACACCACAAGTCAATGACATTCATCACTGGCGACATTGTTAAGCGCCGCATAGCCTCCAATCACCCTCTTTCGATGGACAGAAGCTCTATCTCTCTACACATTTGACGTCCAGCACCGCCCGGGCAAACAGATGTGTCACGTGGACGCGCTCTCACGCGCACCCGTCTGTCTCTATCTCTCGACTGAAGAAGTCATTCGTCACCAGAAGTCCGATCACGACAACGGATGCGTTTACACTCCGCCAGTAGTGGTCCGCTCTAACGTCTCCATGACTTCTCCAGCAGTCACGAGTACTTCTCGCGGACAAACCATACCATTTACTCCTCGTTCCGACAATACCCCACGAACTGTCCGTAAGTTCTCGCGTGATCTCATTGTCGTCCCGCCATCTCTAGTGTCACAAGTCCTCGTGGAAGCTCACGACAACGCTGGACACCCAGGGATCCGAACGACTCAGAAGCACCTCCAGTACCGGTACTTCTGGTCAAGTATGAGACACGACATCAAGGAGTTTGTGAAGTCCTGTACTGCTTGTCAGCTTATCAAG